TCTTTCTCCTTTTCTCTCTCTCTCTCTCTCTCTCTCTCTCTCTTTCTTTTCCTTTTTCCTCTCTCAAGAAAGATGGTGCGCGCTGTCTGATAAAAAGGGTTGTGCGACGAGGCGTCGCGGCGCTGTGACAATGCGGAAATATGAGACTTCCTACGTCAACCAGATCCTACCGTCGTTTTTGTTGTGGTTGTCGGCGCTGCAGCACTCGCACCGATGCAACTTACACCGGTCGCCGACGCACACGTCCAACGTCCATTGAGGAAAAATGGGTGCCAATCAATCGACCCGAAGTGCGCCCACCCCCGGAGAAGAAGGTAAAACCCCTCGGTCTTTACGAGAAAGAGAGCGCGCTTCAATTTTTTATGTGCTTTCGACGCGATAATTGGAAATATTGAGTAATGGAAATATTGGCTTAGAAATGTTGACTACAGTCGAATAATGGGACGGAATCTGATATTTTACGAAGTATCGATAACTTGATTTCAAGCTCGATTGATAAGGAAATGATCTACCTACTATTTGTTTCTTTTTCAATATGTCTTAGCAATATCACAAATGGTTATTTTTTCTCTTCTTTTATTATGACAGCAAGTAATGCAAAATGGAGTTAACATCGCTTCCAAACTGTCGATACAAAGTATGAAGCAACTTTTTATACAGACCTAATTGAACTCATCGCGGCGGCCACCTCATTTAAATTTAATTAGCGATATATTCATTTTCAACGTTAAAGACAACAGTCAGTTAATCGCAGTAATGATTGACTAGAAATTGGATTTTATAATAATTACACAATGCATAAATGCGTGAAAAATAGTACGGTGCGTGCTCAATTATTGCTCTGCTAAATTATCTTTCACCGCGCGAGGATCGACACGCTTATTTTATATTAATATTACTCTGTTAAAGTTATGAAATGCGGATTTTAATAGAGATTCCGTCGGTGTTATATCGCTCCACCTAGTATTGTGTAATTCGCATAACTTGAATTCTCGCCCGACTGGAATGATGGATATGCATCGACAACTTGCGTCGTTTCACGGAAGATCACCTTATTCTATCACATTCATACCTCGCTGCAGCCGCAGCTTCCGCGATATCTCGTCGTACACGTGACGTCGCGTAGAAATTTTAGTCCTTGATTCGATTACGGAGTATCAGGCTGTGTTGTGGAGCTATTAATAAATCGTTTCTATCAGTTGTATCGACAATTCCACGGACATTTAATTTCATCCGGAAAAATCCAATTCTATTTCATTATAATTAAATTCTTGGAAGATAACTTCTTCCACGATTCTTTCTCTGCAAACTCTTTTTCCACTGTTTGCGACATATTAGAAACACAGATTACATCGTTTTTGAAATTTTTACAAGTCAATGAAAATCTCGATTGATTAAAACTTCAATATATTGTAATTATTTCTAAGTTTTAATAAAAGAAATACATAAGAGATGTTATCCGTTTGAAAAATAATTGTTTTCTGTCGCTGCATTCAAAAAGAAAAAATATTTACAATAATTTGAATCACGATTAACTTTTATTTCGCGGAAATAAGCTTTTATTTCGCAGAAATCACGTCTAACAATGCGATTTTCGCGCAAGTTTAAATTAGAGATCTAGCGCAAAATCCTTGCGCTACTAATGCGCCTCTCCGGTTATGTGGTTTGGTTATTTCGGGGAGACCGGAACTGCGTATTTGTGCAATATAAACTATACGCCTATGTATCTTCCGTAAACGGTCCTGCCATGATCTGCAGTTTATATCGATTCTGTAATCCCCCGAATGTGTGGAGTTTCACAGACATCAAAATTGTCAAAATTGAAATTTCCACACTCGATGCTTGTAAAAGAAACGGCTCCATTTTTCATATTTATAAATCATCGTTTAATAAGGCAATTATCACGCGAAAGAAGTGAATATATTTGAAATATACCTTATTGACACTTGATCGATACTGGAGAGTTAACGTTATCTTAACGTCAAACTTGACATACGCAATAGCGAACATCAAAGAGCACGCAACGTCCCGTCATTTGTATGTCAATGTATTTTTGGTCGTGCTTTATCATCGGAAAATTAATCCATTACTCCATCTATCATTAAATATTCTCGCACTGCTTCAATTGAATCGCATTTCTGTTGCAGTAAATTTCGATCATTTTCAAATTCTACGCGCCATCGGGAAAGGCAGCTTCGGCAAGGTATGTCGTAAATTATTTCGCAGTCGAATTGCGACGAAACGGTAGGTATTGTTACTAGTCGAGTCGGGCGTTCTGACAGCTTTTGTTCGCAAACTCGACGAGCGCGTAATAGCCGTGCGCGGATTTCAGTTTTCCGTGCGGTTTTCAAGCAGTTTATCACGACGATATTCGAGTCAGTTTATCCGATGTTGCTCCTGTGTTTACATACCGGCATCGTGCCAGTTTCCGGCACGGATGCAAATTCCGCGATCACGCTAACACGTCGAACCGCGTCGTAATTTATGGCTGTGTGCTTCTCGCCGAACGAAATTAAATTGTGAAAATAAATTATAGTACTTCTGTTTTCTTATTATTAATAATAGCGCTCTTGAGCCGCGACCACTGCACAGTCCATTAATCTTAACGTATGTACGATACTGAGCGCAAAAATATATTACTTGAAGAATGATTAATAGCATAACGACAAACGCGCGTTTGCTTGGTCCACAACGTAAAGTGCAACGCGAATTGCATTTATGCTCCTATAAAATTGTTACGCTGTTGGCCGTAAAAAAAGTGCGTTTCTCGGCGCTTTTATATTTATTGCTGCGAAAATTCCCAAACTCGTTATCTCGCTTTTATGAGTGTAGCAAATACGCGACATATCTCCCTTCTTAGATAAATCAAAAGAGAAATCCAATTATAACAGCTTGTTTATAGCTCAAAAGTGTGTTAGTTTTGAAATGTTATAAAAAAACTGTAAAATATAATTTCTTTTGCTCAAGTGACAATTAAGACAATACAAATATTTAGATAAAATATCGATATTGCAGTTTGTCGTTTGCAAGCAAACGTTTCACGCTTTTGTCTTTTACTGTAAAAAAATTAAACATTTTGTGTAGTGATAAAAAAAAAACTTTTAGACAGTCAAACAGTTTTAACGCGGAGAACACGATTTTGCGCGTGGAATTCAATTTCGATGTATGAAACGCAATTTCTACTATCAGGTCTGTATCGTGCAAAAACGTGACAGTACTGGGAATATGTACGCTATGAAGTACGTACATAAAAACGAATGCGCGGAAAGGGGTGCCCTAAAGAACGTGGCGAGGGAAGTAGAGATCCTGTCGAAGCTGGAACATCCTTGCCTGGTGAATTTATGGTTCAGCTTTCAAGGTAATCGTTTTCCAAGACATTAATCACACTTAAATAAACACATGAAATATACGTACACAAGAAACAGAAAAAGTTTCGAAAAAGTCACAAAACAGTTTTTTTATTATTATTTCTTCTGTATTCTGTATTCTGTATTCTGACGTTTCATCTTTCTATTTCTTGTAACTCGGAAACTCCTGATATTTTTACTGAAAAAAAATCAAGTTGAAACGATTTGTTGGTAAAATTAAGATTAAAATATTTTGTAAAACATCTTACAATATACGTATCTACAAGATTTAAGTAAGAGCTGAAATTATTTATTTACTAATAATATTCGGTTCGGAATTAAACGTACAATTACCGCGTTGTAATTAATAGCGTTAGCCACGGTAATCAACATAACGGATAATTATTCTGTATACTCAAACTTGCGAGCAAAATAATCGCAAAAGTTAACGAAACATTAACACGATACTAATTTAGGCATTTGTACAAAAAAGCACAACAGCTGTTTGATTTTAAATAGATTTTTATTTGATTTCTCTCGCTAATTTCTTTTACTGTCGCGCAAAATTTTCATTATTTAATATTTCTCTAATTAAATTACCAATCAAATTTTCATTCAAAATCTACTTAAACTTTTGTTATCCAGCCGCATCATTGAAAGGTTTCATTTTGCAATTATTTTATCAATATAATATGATAATATTCATTATTATTTTTCTCTTTTTTGTTAACAAGCATGAATATAATTTCTATATTTCAATATTTGTATATATTTTAATTTTTACCGTCAATGGTTTTTCACTTTTTATATTAAAAAGGCGACATGTAGATATCACAACGCGAACATCCTACATGTTATCACGAAAAACAATGAACGCGATGTCTCTTTCGGATTTTACTAACAAATGCGCATTAACCGATTACGCTTATCTCGCGAAAACACACGGGGCTTTATTGAAAGAAGTTGAATTCTCTCGATGTCGGAAATACGAATGGTGCAAATATTTATGCAAAAGCGAGCAATGCAGAACTTGCAGTTGCCACAAAACTTTAATGAGAACGTCTGCCAAGTAGATAGGTCAAATATTAAATATTCTGAACGAAATTGCGACTCGTAAAAATACAGTAATTCTTACTTTCAACGTTGAACATTTTGCTAATTAAGCCACGGAGTAATTTTATTTAGCAGAATAACAATTGAAAAGAATTATTGGATTTCTTCACAAATATTGTGATTGTGTTAATTGAGAAAACAGAAATTTAATTTCGGACGTTATCTCGCAATATTGAGAGAAAAGTTTGTTTGAAATTTAACATCCTTGAAGCTTGCAACATATTGATTATTTTGATATATTCGAGGAATAACTATTAATTCTGTTTCAATAATGTTTTGCTCAGAGAAACTGCACGATTTTCGGAATATTCTATTATTCATAGCTATAAATGTCTAAAAATAAATACAGACATATACACAATTATCGGATAACAATCTCCTTATTCAAATAATTTTTATAAAATAGTTAAATTAAAATTTGCATTATTTAGCTCTCTAATTTTTATCTGTTTTATCTGTTTTTATCTGTTTTTCGAAAAGTACCGTACTGTACCATTTCTAACAATGAAATAAGCCGAGCATGTGGATAGAAATTAATGTTTAATTTTTCAATAGCTTTGTATTTTATTTTTTTAATTATTTTAAAAGTATTTTTTCAGCAAAAACTAGAAAAATATTGGCACTTTTTAAGTGGCGTTACTAACAACATTGTTGAAACAATTACTGCAAGCTTGGAGGCTAAAAAGATTGTAAAGTATGTGCAACAACAACAAAGTAAATAATATAATTACAGTTTCGCGCAAAATAATATAAATTATTCAATGGAGAACTTGTTAGAGAATTTGTGGGATCAATTAACAATATTATACGCGTCAATAAGATCTCTTAATCCGTCTTTACGTCTACAATTATTCACTTAAATATTTCTGACAAACGCGCGTTGACAATTGGCGCGTGCAAATTTACAGCATGTTTATTTGCGAGACAGTTCATATTGCGCTGTTCGAACCTGGTTTTATCGTCTGTGCGCGAAATATCGGTACTCAATATTTGATCGTACTGAGCCAATATTGATCGGTTGCACGTCCGATAACGCGTGCGACGTCACTTTCATTTCGCGAGACATCGACGGAGTGGACGCGACACGCGCAAAACGCTCATCGATGCCACGTGTGTGTCACGCGCGAGAGAGAGAGAAAGAAAGAGGATCCACGCGCCTGTTACACGTCGCGTTGTGTTACAGACGAGGAGGATCTCTTCATGGTGTCGGATTTACTTTTGGGCGGCGACCTGAGATACCATATCCAGCAAGAGATTGTGTTCAGCGAGGAGAGCATCGTGCTATTCGTGGCTGAGATCGCGCTGGCGCTTGATTATCTGCAGAGTCACAGGATCATTCATCGGGACATCAAACCAGACAATATATTGCTGGACGAGGAGGGTGAGTGGCTTCGTTTGCGGATGAGATCATGTCCCGCGGATCCCCTTAACCCTTTACCCTTTTGCGCACCGGCAGCAATCGCCCACGCACACGTCGCGGATAAAGATAATTAATCTCGTGAAGAAAAAACTTTAATTCCAAGTGGGATTTCTGAAAGCTTCTTTTCTCGCTACGCGCCTCGTAAACTACGTGACGGAAATCCACTCGTGGCATATAATCATTATGCATAAGTAATAAATGTTAATTTAGTATAATTAATACCTTCGATGTTGTAATTTGAGTAAATTTGATTTACAAATCTAATTTACAAGATGATTAATTATATTGCTTCTATTTTATTAATACAGCTGTGAAATATTTTTGCACAAGCTGAAAATTAATTGCGCTTACTTTCGCATTTTAAAAGCAATGTATGAATTTATTCGATTAAACTGTTCGGTTCTTGTTGAAAATTTTCGCAGTGAGAAAGATCATAGTGCGAAAAAGTTAAGAGAGGACGGAGAGAGTACAATAGTTTTTCTAACAAACAGTACAGTTTGATATCCTTGCTTCTATTTCGAGTAACAGCTTTAACCAAGGTTACATGATCCCGAGTTTCATTTAACACAATGCGAAACTCATATTCAGTGTAAACACGAGATGAGAATCGAGTAACCACATTTAGCGGTAAACGTGAGTTTACAAAGCTTTGAATCTGATCATGTTGGCTCTCATACACGTGTTTGCAAACCGGATGTAAGAATGAGAAGACCATCGACATACAGTGTCGAGGATTAATGAAGAAAGCATTCTTGCGAATGGAAAATGTATTGAGATTAAAAACGCGGTTTTTACAAATTTATTTTGCAAGTTTATAAAATATTATGCTTTTATTATTACACAAAATGACGTTACAAAAGCGTCAAAATCAGAAACTTATTTCTCTTTTTTAATTATTCCTTCATTATCTTTCTTTCTTAATTATTATATTATTATTTATAATATTCATGCATTTTTATACAAAGCTTCAAATAATAATTATTTTGGTAAAAGACAGTTTTTTTTATCACGAAAGCATTACTGATGCTCATCGAGCGTGTTGATTTGCACCGCAAATCTCAAAATATTTAGCATTAAACCGCACCGGAGCTCTCTCGCCGTTCCGATATACCCTCGTTTACATATCATTTGCGTCAAGCGTCGATTCTAGCGTTTGGTTTCAATATCGCCGCAAACAAACGGACTTGATCACGTACGATTCAATTATTCGCATAATACGAACAAGATGAAATACCGAAATTATTATTAGGTAAGTAATTTTCGCATAACGGCCGGAATCACTCCGTCAGGGCTGCTGCCAGAAGCCATCGGCGGGGTTTTAAGCGGGAATTAATTCTCAACACTGCCTTTCACCCCTACTGCTTCAAATCCCATAAAATTAGTACATCCTACTGAATATGGATTTAGCAAATTGTCGAGATTTCAGAGCGTATGCGGTGCGGAAATTATCTGCAAGCAATATCATGGTATCACAGTGCATACTAATTATAAATCCTTCAAAAGCAAGATTAATGCATCGCCGACAAGAATCTTCCATTATCAAATTTGGATAGTTGCAATCTTAATATATATTGCAATATTTCAATAACTAGAGGCTAATATCTCGCAAAACCAGAGATAATCAATAATTAATAGCGTATAGAATTACAATTTCGATAGAAATTCTATTCTCAAGGATGCGAAGAGATTTTTCCACGCGGTCTTTATTAACGGAGTGTCGCTTTACGGAATTATTTAGCGAAAAAGCGGGCAGGAAAAGATCTTATTGTGTGTTCTTTATCGGACAACCGATGCTGCCGTACATCTTTCGACATTTCTCCGAAATCCGCGAGGCAACATAGCTTCGCCTTTTTCAGTTATCAGCTTGGCGAACGTTGCGTCCCATTCTCTCCAGAAATTATCGATAGCATTTCTTCCGCTTTGCTTCCTCGGCGATATCGATTTATCGTCGAAATATTAAAGGCTACGCGAGACTGTCGAAGGAAAAGCCGAGCAAATCTCGAATACGACGCTAAATAATGCAGAGACGTCTCAAGCTTGCGAGATCCTTCGCTCCTTGGGATTTACATAAGATATATCTGGATTTGTTAGTTCACGGGAGCGGCAAAACAGACTTTGCAACCCAACAAACGGGGAAACGCTAACGATAAGACGAATTAGAATCGCCGTGATGAACGGTTTTCCCATTTTCACGCGCGCGAAATATTTATTAGCATAAATATTGCGAAATACGAAAACGCATTCAATTGCGTTCACGCGATATCGGTTTATTGATTTTCCGCTCGAACGAAAATTTCGCCCGAGGCGAACAATAATGGCGAACAATGCGCGGGTACAATACAACTTTGACGTCGGCGAAATTACGAGAGCGAGACGAGGATAAAGATAAAGAACCGCGGGGATGACAAGACGAAAGGGTATAGTGCGTGCTCGCGTCGGAGGCCGCGCTCTCTCACCCCGCTCGAAGCGCCGGATCCGCTTTAATAGCGAAGGATATAGCGGACGGGAGCAGCGAGGGTGTTTCGTAGGAAGTGCCTCGGGGACACGAGAAGCAGGTACGTGCATTTACGATCTTGAAGAGCGACGGCGACGGTGGGAAATGGGACGGGAGGGGTTATCCTAATTTCCTCCTGCACCTGGCCGACGGCTGTTTGAATCCTGAGATTGCCTCTGCATCATTTAAAATTACGCACCGGTGTCTCGCTCTTATCGTTTTGCTTTCGCGCCCTCATCTAGCTCAGCGTAGAACCCATTCTCCGTGACGGGGAAAATATCACCTTGGGGGAGTCGGCGGCGCAAAACCAGTTCTATTTTAAGCTGGATATTGTACCATTGTCAAGCGTGTGTGTTAACACACACCGAAATAGGTCGCGATAATGCGACTTGCCTTCGCGTGGACGGAAGCCGAAGAAGTCCAACTTCGATCAAAAACATGTTTTTAGAGAAAATATGTTTCCGTAAAGGGATGAAATTGCGGGGCGATTTTAAAATAAAGTCTCTCGCGGAGATCGTCGACGGAACGGTTCGCGTGCGGGAGAAATGTTTTTTTTAAGGAATCCTCAAATAACACTAAAGTAATACGCTTGAATTACGCTTCAATTTATAAAATTGAAATCACTCGTGCAAGCTCATTATAATTACATTATCATAACATCGTTGCCATTGTAATTTTAGATGATTGTAAGGTGGGAAAGGTTAACGGGGTGAAAGTAATTTACCGTAATGTAGCAAAATGAAGCAGTTAAGAATTTCAAAGGGACGGCTAGTCTCGATCTATAGTCTGACAACTTGCGAGGAGCCTGAAACTTCGGCGCACTTCCGCGGAAACCGCTTAGAACTACTTTCATTAAAATCCAAGCGTGACTACAATGGAGAACGGCGCAAAATTGCGGGGATGTAATACTACCCCACTTCCATCCGGTAATATTGCAGTCTAGATCCGCATTGTGACTGTTGCAATTTATTCCGTTAATTTTACGCAGACGCGGTTTCATACTTATCAGATTGCGAGGTATTCACAGAGGCAAGAAATTCAGCAAATATTTTGTAAGTAAAATGAAAAATTAGGGACCTCTGAAAAGAGTTTCTCATCTACAAATTCTGCAATATATAAGGAACAATATTTTCGGATTATTCATAAACGAATCGTCTAAATACTGCAAGAGTTAACAACATTTCAATCGTCGATCCGTTGCTGTTGCAATTTTTCGTCGCGACGGCGCTTCGAAAATTCGGCGCGCGCGTATCGTTTATAAGTAAAGTCGTGCACAGATAGCACGAGTACGTTCCATTATGTAATTATGTAATTACAATTAGTTGATTAACTAATCAACAACAAAAGGTTCATCACGACTGCTTTGTGTCCGCTTTTCGGGATCGCGTGGAATTAATCCTCACGGATGGATCGATATACTCGTTACAATTTTCGCGCAAAAAAATCGTAGCGAATTAAAAACAAATTTATTGAAAAGTTGAAATAAACTCGGAATCGTATATTGTATATCATGGACAATTAATTTATGATCGATTAATTACGAAGATAAAGTTAACCCTTTCGATAGCAGCGTAAGAATGCAAAACTGCTGACGTGCCGCAAATAGAACGATACATAAACAACCCTTTGAAAAGTTCATCTAAATGGTAATTTCTGCTTTTATTAAGTTTTAAACCAAATTAATGTTATTTCTTAAAAAGCTTTTCATTCTCTTTGATTAAGAATATTTATAAACCTGATTGAGTGCAGAAATTAGAATAAAATTCTTATTCTTGCATCTTATTCTTGCATCGATCGGCAGCAATAACGTGATAAAAGTTCCTTTCGATAAAACTCGAGTGTCTGGTTTGCACAATCGTCAATTTTTATTTACTTCTGCGTGCAGAGGGTGGAAGACTATTCTTGATATGCGCGAACCACCTCACGTGCCTGGCACTAAAGCACAAAACCTGACTACAATAGCAGGATTGTGTGATATTGCGTCGATGTGTGATGTATAGCGGTGTTGGAGTTCATTCTCTTTAGTTTACAACACAGCTCGATCCACATTGCGGCTGCTACGATGTTTAGAAAATGGCAGTGGATAAATATTGCGGGAGTAACGGGGCGCACGCGAGAGCCCCGACCATGCCGCGTTGGAAAACCAATATCGCGTTCCTCTCCGTGTGTTTGTATCGTCTACGTATGCACGTGTTTACGTGTTGTGTACGTATCCAGCCCTTAATAGCCTTCTGATGACCCATAGGTACAGCTGTGTAATGTAGTTAGGGTTCGTTAGGCGTTTATCCCGCAAGAGACGTCTAAAGATCGCGAACGCACGTGTACTATTCACACGTGTTAGTTTCCATTATTATCCCGCCGTCTATTTTATAATTATCTCGGCGAGAGAGAACTAGAGACTTTACAAGCCTGCTTTTATAATTCAAAACAAAAATGTATACAAAATACAAGAATTTTTTAGAAACACTCGCAGATATTGTAGTGGTTTCACATTTTGTGTCTGCGATTTGCTTCTTTCACATATCGTTAGCATAACTTTTATTCTTACAATCTTTTTTTATATATTTTTTATTTTTATCTTCATAGACTTGATATAAACGCATTCTATAACTTTTCAACTCATGATTGTAATTAATTGTTTTCTGTAAAACTAATTTCTTATTGATTTCAGATTTCAATAAAAAAATTCTATTCGGCGAATTAAAAAACAAACACAACACGCTTTGTGTATTTGAATTTATTGTTTATTTGCGTCTCTTGCGTTACAGTTGCCATTCATACTATACTGCATATGATATTTGAAATTTATAGTATGAGCGCGATTACGATATTTGTTGCGCTCTAATATTAATTAGCATAGTTATCATGTATAATTGCTGCGCGTGCACGAGAGATATTCCAGACCATGTAATAAATAACTAACTTGTTTAGTGATGAACTTAAAGATTACTTGGAAAATGGATTATAAAAGATTGTTTGCTTTCCAGGCCACGTCCATGTGACTGACTTCAACATCGCGACTGTACTTGAAGAAGGACAGTTGGCGACTTCGATGTCCGGAACGAAACCCTACATAGGTATGTGTGAATTAATAGTTTCGTATCTATGATTTTTTTTCTACACAACTAGTTAGTCTAAGTTTTATTTTCACTTGATATAAACACATTCCAATTTTTTAATTCATAATTGCGACTGGTTCTATTACTGTCATTAATATTGTTTCCGTAAAATTAATTTCTTATTCATCTAAGACTTTAATAAAAAAATTCTATTTGACGAATTGAAAAAAAAGAGTACAATGTCATGTGCACTTAAATTTGCGACTTTTGAATGCAACATGAAATATGCATCTCCATCTCGATGAAATGTCGAGCGACGCAGTCGAAAGATTCGTGACCGGAAAAGATATCTTAAGAAACGGTAGCTATAGGTCATCGGTGCATTACTCGAAATCCGTCTTTTATGTTCGCGTTACATCGAGACTATCCTGACGAATAACGCGACCAGCACACTTTTCTTTCCTGCGTTTCTTCTTTTTAACGCGGATTTGCGTCAGCCCCGGAGATTTACATGTGCTCATGCGAGGAATACGGCGTCCTCGGCTACGGATTCGCCGTGGATTGGTGGAGTCTGGGAATCCTCGCTTGGGAGACCCTAGCCATGGAGAGGCCGTATCCACTTCACTCGACAACGTCCAACAGGGAAGCTTTGAGAATTTTGCAGGTGAGTGCTGTAAACTTGCAGCGATGAAAAATCATCGAAGACACAATATGCAAGTATAATAAATAAATGTAATAAAAATGCAATAACGCGTAGGACGCATGAAAAATACATTCCGACACTTCCGATTCTATATCTGAAATTACACAGAATATCCCGACTCTACCAAATCACTCTTGAGTAATAATGCGCACATTATTCTGTTAATTAAAGACACGTCATGTCCCAGCTGTCCGTTAATTGAGGACTTGTCATGAACGTGCTATTGGTGCGACACGTGCTGCGACATACTATAGCGCTTGTTAGTTCCATCGATATCAAGCTCGCTCGCTTGCGTAACGTGAACATTTTAACTGTATTTATGATATATTTTCAGATTGAAATCGTTGAAGAATGAACGTACGAATGTGTGACATAAAATAATTTTTTAGAATTATTCGTAATTATTAAAATAAACCAAATTTCTTTTATTTTCAGATTAGAAATTCTAATCTTGAGAAACTTTTCTTCAACAATTGAATTGAATGTATTTAACCTTTCTGTTTTTAGTTTTTCTCAAAAATCGATAAATGCCCGATTGTTTATTTTATTTATATGCGCGCAACAGGCTACGCAACAAACTCGATGAATATCGCGCATTTTTAGGAGGAAAGACCGACACCATCGCACTGGAGCCCGTCAGTACGCGACCTCCTGGACCGTTTGTTAACTCTGGCGCCTAACGCCCGAGTGTCGCGTTTAAAAGAGCTGAAACAGGCAAGCGCAATGAGAGAGCTGGATTTCGACAAAGTGCTGAACAAGCAGATAAAGCCGCGCTTCACCCCGCCAAAGGATCACTTGAACTGCGATCCCACCTTTGAGCTCGAGGAAATGATCATCGAGACGAAGCCCCTGCACAAAAAGAAGAAACGCCTGGCAAAACAGAGGTCGGTTGTCCTCGCGAGACCATTTCCTCACTCACCTTTTCCACATCCCTTTCTTCCCACGCAGAATCGCACGCGGGAGAAATGATCCTTACGTCGTTGATTAATACATTGCGATTCAAATTGCCGGCCTTACGAACATCTTGATGCAAGAACCGTGTATTTCTCTCGCGATTCTGCATATTCCCGAGATAATCAGTATGCTAATCGCCGAAGCAATACCTCGACATCCCGTTGCAGGTCGTTGAGGGTCGAGCTCTCGGCGGAGGATGCCGGTGGGTTCGCCGAGGGCGCTGGATCGAGCGTAGACACGCGGAGATTAGCTTATATCCCGGAGTACCGGGTGTACAATCGCGAGCGCGAGATCGAGCGACAGGAGAGGGAGAAGAAGGAGAAACAATGGGAGGAGGAACTGAACACTGCCATGAAGGGTGCCGAGGAAAGACTCAAGTATATATTTGAATTACATTCTCCCAAAACTCGACAATTCTGTTCGTCAATATATCGCTATCCTCCGCTTGCAATCATTGTGATATTCGCGATTGTCTCAAAATAGCTGAGACTTCAATGACATTAACCGTAATCAACCGTCGTAATTTCCACAGCTTTGTGACGAGCCCCGAGAGTCTCTCGTTAAGATTCTGAACATCGCTGTGTACATTAATCTCCCCGAGCTACATCGCCTAACGCTCGAACGATACCCGTGTCGATCCCTCTTGATTACAGAACAAAGCAGCAACATCTGCCGGCCCAGCGAACCGGAAACCGACTGAGCGTCTCGACGACGAACGTCAAAGCGCGCATAAGCGCGTCGCCGAGGCAAGGTCGCCGAGCGAGCGCTGCGACGTCCTCGGACATCGACTTCATCGACGCGAGTCCGGAGCCTAGTACGTCTTAGATAACATCTGAATTAACACGAAGTAGCCTATCTACGATCAGTAGACTCACTCGATCCTACCGGCGCGCACTGAATTCCAACAGAGAGCCCGACATTTTAATAATTCACTCTGTAAAAAGTCTTTCTAATATTCGATTATTTCCTATTTCAAGATACATCTCAAACTCGAAAATGAAAAGTATTCGTCGAGAAAATATCGAAGATATTTGTAAATGCAAATGTTAAGGCCTCCACATTTTTTCCGATACTGTGCTACAATTCTGCCTATCCGTAATGGACTTGAAAAGTTCATTTAATTTAAATGGATAGGATTCTACAGGCAGATTAATAGTGCGCTGGCTGCTAATATTAATTGTTAATGTCGATTTTATTTTTGAAAGTTCTCTCGAAATGCCAATAATGACTGCACATCGCGTAAGCTTTCTCAGATTTCAGTTGAGCTCTGTACCAGGAAATGTGCATTTATAAGATGTTATCAGTCGAATTGTTCGACGAATTCAGATCAATAGCAGCACAGACTTTTTAAAGCAACGAACGATCGGTATATCAACTTTGTTGAAGCAGTAGTTTAAATTTTTACGACGCTCTGCTTTCAGGAACTGGTTGCAAACCCACCATTAAAATTAGATCTCTTCAAAAAGTAACATAAATTAATCCTTTCAGTACAAATCTGATGTATATCGCTCCTGGAGCTTTTTGAAGTAAAAAATATATATATTTTCACCTCTTTACCTTTCTCTAAAAACCAAAGCACAATATTAGAGAATGCGCGCTATTATCTCAAAGTAATATATAAAGCTCTACAGTGTTAAATAGAACTACAACGATAAATATTTAAAATAACAATAAAGAGTGAAGATTATCTATAAATAATATTTAAAAAAAATATTTCAAGAATTGTAATAGTTCGATAGAGAGAGCGAGAGAGTGTATATGTGCGCGTGTGCGTATGTGTTATATAAGCGAGTTAAAATAAATGAGAAATAAATTTTAACACTTCTATATCTAATACTAAAAGGGTTAAGGCGCACACTAATAATATAATTTCTTTGTTGATGGGATTGGGAACAATGACTTACATGATATATATGTTTTATTTAATCAAAGTATATGTTGTTTAGATGTGAGCTATGTATACGCGAATTGAAAATAAAAAATATCTTTGACATGTTAACGCTTTTAGGATATAATTCCTTTAAATCTTTAGCGCATGCAATATAAAAATTGTATGAGTAAAATACATTTTATGAATAAAGTTGCATGGCAGCGTTAAATTGCAATAAAGCGTACATTTTCAAATAAGTTATAAATATTAGAAACATAAATTTTTATTTAACTCCATCTTTCTGTTGTCATTTAATCGCTATAATAAATTTTATAAAAAATATTTTCAGAATCGCGTCGCTCAAAAGAATTTCGATATCGAAATTCATTGATCCCTCAAACGAAAGGGATTATCATTAGCATATCGTAAGAATCGCAAATGTGATTTTCGCATTAGCCAAGCGTAGCCGTTGAAGGCGCGCCGGATAATCGATAGCACCGGCGCCGTTTCGCGAGGGTGAAAAGAGGATGAAGAGGGTCATCACACCATTCCACCCTGTTCCGCGCAATGTAGGTCCCGGTCAGACAATGTAAGATATTGCCGGTGACACGAGTATAATAGTACAGTATAACAACATTATCTCCAAAGTCTTCGAAACGTCAGCTTTAAATTGATGAAGTATTCCGTACATAAAAGAGGAGATGCGATAAAACGCCTTCTGCATTATATTTCCCCCACGGGGAAATATGTAATTCAGGCAAATTAACGATTCTTCTCAATGCGAATAACGGATGCAATTTATATAATAATTGCATAAACGAGATTGTTGCGAATCACAATCTAAAAAGGGATGAATACTTTGAGCTAATTGTAAAAGGGTCTAGAATAATGGGCCAATTACGGCGCGGCAATTATTGCACACCACTCATATCGGTGTTGCAAATAGCGAGTAATGTGATGATTAAACTATTGACTCGGTATATTTTTAATGCCCTTGTGCGATAATCGATGGCGAGCAGCATAATAGGCGGCTGTAATGAATGAAAATTATTTAACATTTTTCTTGCCGCGTTCACATTTTTATTTCGAATAAAAAAAATGCCATAAATTTCGGAGCACATTGCCTTCTCGTAATAAGTAAATAATTCTTTTGTGATTCTATATTAAATGTAAACATTTTTTTTTAACAATTCAAATATTTTACAGAAAAAAGTTATTAGTCTCCAATTTTTAATTCGAAAAACAGGAGCATTAATTGACTCGTATTAAAGGCTAATAGCTTTGAAAAACTGTTCCTCCTTTAGAATATATCTTTCTGTTATTAGTCGCGCGGAAGGGTTAATAGCTTTCCGCTGAATAACGCTGACGAAGTGTCTATACGAATAGGCGTGGTTCTTGACGGAGAAGAGTAACGAAGTGGTAGAGAACGGCAATCGCCCGGCTTCGTCGTCTTCGATGGGAAAATCCAATAGGAGATAATGCAGTTTAGTTTATAGAGGCCGATGAAAGCCGTGAGCCCTCTTTGCGCGATAAAAGTGCCGTTAAATAAGAAAATTCAACCTAATGGAATGCCCAACGCTTTTAATTGCCTTTACGCGCGCTTCGCAAATTAATTCCCCCTCGCAAGTGGGGATTCTCTCCTCCCGAGAACTATGAAAATTGTAATTACGAGCTCCTTTGATGCCATTACAAAAAAAAAAAGAAAAAGAAAATTTGTCCGTACTTTTATGAGAACGTATATCGCGACTGCCGCGTCTTCGCGCGCGCGCGACGGATAAATAAATTCTACTTCATCGGCTTGAGTGAGAAAATCTGTCGACTGTGATGGCAAACTCCCGCGAGAGATGCTTATCAGGAAATTCAATCGACACTAATGCAATTTCAACCACGAGTCCGACGGAAAACGAGCGGCGTTTTCGCGACGACCGCCTTAATTCCCTCATTTCCCGTCTCTTCCACAAAAGGAAAAAGAAAACGGGTCGCGCACGCTTCCACGAGGAAAGCAATTATCGCCGCTCGTTAATCACATCTTCGCACCAACGAAGACAATCGCAAACAGAAGATTACGATCTCGATGGGAAAAGTAACTACGCGCGCTCGGGCCGCTCTAGCCTACTTTCGCCGACGGGATGGCACTGTTGCGCCCCAATCCGCGGAAGTGCCATTTATATTCACGAAGGGAACAAGCAGATGGACATACTTATTCCTGCAGGATTATAGCGGGTTGGCGTTATGGATGCGAATAATGGGAGGACCGCGGTGGAGTACACGAATGCACAATCGCAAGTTTAATAAAAAGAAAGTTTTCCTTTATATATGCAAGATTCGCATACATTAAAAGTAATCACCATAATTCTACATGATCATCACTATCGTGTCTAGAAACAAGAAATCATATTTGTTAATATCACAAAGTATTGCCGTTTTTCCGCTTGCCGGGCCGACACGGTTAGTACGGCTATTGCGCTCTCCTGCACATTCGAATGAAGACGCATGGAAGACCGCAACACGCCTTTAAAGCGGCTATAGCATAAAAATATATTATTCGTATCTATATCTTCTTTCACGAGAATATATATGTATTCAGAAAAATAGAGTATTCTTCCTCATTGTTCACACGAAGAAGACACGTTGACACAACTCATCTCTCACTTATTTCTCGGATGCCCTTTGTAAATGACACTTAAACTATTGTCAGTCTATAATGTTAGATAATTGTTACCGAATTGTTATCGCAGATATGCACTCTACTCACATCGATTACATATATCTCAATTCACATTTTTTTTTTGGCAGAAAATGGAAAAAATCATCAAGAACGATTAATTTCTGCTGCTCCGTGAAGAAATACAACAGCAATCAATATTTGTAGCGTGTTACTTTGTACTAATCTTGAATTACATATCTTAATTCGCGTCGAAAATTAATCAAGAAATATTTTATCGAGAGATTAAAAAAGATTAATTAAAAAAATATTTTTACATAAAACAAATGTACTGTATTCGCCAATGTTTTGAAAGAATCTCAACAGTTATTTTTTTTTTATTATTTTAATTTATCGAGCAATCTTGGGTCTGCTATGTTGTACCTGTTCACGGAACAGCTATTTTACTCTTAAATATTTTTTGATCACAGATTATTTATGCGCGTTTTGCGACAAATTTTTTGGAAAATTGTTCGATATTTTCTCGTAACGGCTTATAAATACGAAAGTAGTATAAATAAAATTATTAGCCAAAAATACGTGGTATACCTGTGTTAATTGTAACAACTATTAATATTAATATTCGTACTGCACCATATATCACATCTCGGTTTGAAGCAAACTCAGATCATCGTTATTGACACGTTATTTCGGGCTAATTTGCAAGTACAACTCCAATATATAGATCTAAGCGAAGTAACAGTAACATGTAAAATAACTATCAAAAAGAAAATGTATGGTTATCGTACATCATGCGTATGATTAAAGCATTTAAACTAGCATCTGTAAAAAAAATTGCAATATATTCCAGAGATTGCGCAATTTCTTTCAGCTTTTTGATCAATCTTTTGAGCAAAAATTTAAATTTGCATCCAATATTATTTAATCCATTTAATTTGGTACAATCAAAATTGACTTTTCTTTGTAGTCAAATATGTAAAGATATAAAAATTAAAAAATGATCATAATTTCTAATTCAATATTTGTCAAAAAATCTCGAAATTTATTAAAGAATTCATAGTAGACGGAAAGTGCGCATTGTCTGAAACATCTATACATACATATATATACATATATACATATACATATATATATGTATGACAAACTCTTATAAAAGAATTAGCTTTAGGAGGTATACATCCATATATTTAACGGCAAAGGGATGCAACCATCTAAGAAACGTAATTACGAGTCCGATATAGTTTGCAATAATTGTTTATACGGTCGTCACATCGGTTACCTCGATTCTGGAAATCGGTTTTCGGAAATCGGGCTCTACAACTATGAAATTCTCCTCATCATTTGCGGACTCACCGATTCGGAGCTGCTGCAAATTCGCCACTATCGAATCTACTTGAGACTGATCTAGCAGCGCAGTCTCACTCCTGAGTTTGCTGAAGTGAAGGTAACAGATACCTCGACCCCGCCAGCTTATCTCGCTCGGCTTAACGCCACGCTCCAAGAGAGCGTTCTTTAAATCACGAACTCTTACACCGGATGAGATGTTCGAGAGTTTTAAGGAAAAGTCGATATGCGTTTTACGAAAATTTTTACGTCGTCGAGGTGCGCTTTTCGAGTTATTTTCCACTTTTGTCTGTAATGTAAGATGCATTTATAAAGAAAAGAATATGAGATACTATATATTGTAAATGTACATATTTTTTTAACTGATGTCAAATCGACTTTATTTCAATAAAGATTTAATTTCTTCAAAGAATCCATCATTGATAGGAAAAGGACAACAGTTTTGTGAAATATATACACAAGTACTTACTATTTGTATTTCAGCATTAGGATTATTTTCTTCCTCAGCTTCCACCTTCTTATATATTCGTTTTCGTGAGAAACGTGGTTTATCAATTTTGTCCTTGCCATTCTCCGCAGTGGAGTTTTCTACATCTTTCTTTGTGTTAAAACGCTTCTTGCTTCTCGGATATTTAATACGATTTTTAACGTAATGACGTGTGTCCACGTCAGAATCAACTTCTTTCAAGACCACGATCTTGCCATCTCTGCAGAAAAACAATTATTGTATTTACACGAAATAACCTATCTAATGTAATTCAAGCAATTTAATGCATACTTCTCATCCATCTCTTTGAGCTGCTGTAATACCTGCATGGTTTTGACCCTTCTTTCGCTAAGCATGTGCCACAGAATTCCAGACGGTTTCTTCAGTCTGGGCTCTACAAATATAGTTTGCGTTGGCGTAACAATTATATCCACTGGTACATCATAATCTTTGAACAATTGTGGCGGTAAATAATCTACAATTTGGCAATCATGCACAGTCGTGATGACAATTGTGTTTTTTGTTATTGTACCCATTCTCATCATCATTGCAAACTCAAGATCTGCAAAACCTTCTCCTTTGCCAAGCCTGTATCCATCTCGGCTGACACATACAGATCCCAGCACAACGAGATCTACCTAAATAAACAACAAAAATATTTAAATTTAAGAAAAAATAATTTAGCATTCTATTTTTAACAATTTTCATTACTTCTTTAGTATTATAAGTTATTGCTGCTTTCGTAATATACTTACTTTAATATGAGAATCGAGTCCAAGTGGTTTACCGGTTTGTTCTAGGCCACGAACAAACGTCAATCTAGGCATGGAAGCTAGTATCTTAAGTTGCTCCTTTGTTGCTCCAGCAACCGGTGTAACATGCAGAAACAGGCCAGATCTCAATCTAGGAATAGGTACGATGATTTCCTTGTTAGCTTCTAGAGCTAAAAGACGTACTGGCTCTTGTGGCTTGTCTGGATTTATCTTTATGATTTTGGCCTTCTTAAATTCATCTAATTCTGCCAATCGCTGTGCTGCTTCCGCAGCACCTTTGAAGTTTGGGATACGTTTGTATATGTTAACAGGAAAGTTTACTAATTCGTTCTTTGTCATATAGTCCCATATTTTTTGTCGAAAACTCGACTTGGTCAATTCCTCAGCTGCAAGAAATTGTTAACATGAAGATACAATGATAGAACTACATTAATTTTTAGGTACAAATTCATATATCAATGCTAATTGTAAGCTAATATGTAATCATTCAACAACGTGTGAAATAATTTCATGTACATTTATGACTCAAATACAACAATACTCATATTTTTCTTTTGACGTCTAGATACGATTTAGAAACATTAGGATTAAAGAAACGCCTGTTGCGTCTATGACGCATGAAAAACTACTCACGTAATATCTCCGTCATTTTGATCGATCCAGCAATGCAGTCTAACAGGATCGCGATGATAGCCGTCAGATTCCAGGAAGAATAGTTAATTTGTAAACCTATATCTCACTCTTGCTTGGAGCAAGATATCTTTCAGGAGCTTTTCGTGTCGTCACACTATGTAGTTTCCCATCCAATTTCATGAATGTAGCTAGCGCTGCTAAATCAATACATTTCGAAAGAGTCACTAGATCATCGGTTAATTTTTTTCCGATAATTATTATACAACAATGAATATAATAATTAAAAATGTGTGTGCATGGAATTTTCTTTTTTAGTAAAAAAAAAGATTTT